AATTCACTATTTTTTCTAATCAACTTAATACTATAATATAACACGCAAATCGCAAATTATGGATATGAGTTTTCCGTTTTTGTTTTTCAATATTGAGATAAATATTAGAGTAAACACTTTTTTTTTGGTCTCTAACAAAAAACACGGTCCCCACTTTAGTCTCTTACAAAAATAAATTAGTCAGTTAGTCTTTAACAAATTCAAAGTAAACCTATTTTAGTCCTTTTGAGGGACTAATATGGGTCTTTTTTGAATTTGTGAGGGACCACAATTTCAACTAAATGGGTCCACTTTGAATCTGTTAGGAACTACCTGACTAATTTATTTTTGTAAGAGACTAAAGTGGAGACCGTGTGATTTGTTAGGGACCAAAAGTGTATTTACTCTAAATATTATATAAAAGGATAGCTATAAAGACAGATAACATGTTTGATTGTCTCCTGTTTTTTTTTTCTTAAAATTGTTTGATAAAATAAAAAAATACGTGTTTTCTATATTTTTTTAGTTTTGAAAGTTAAAAATCAAAACATAAAATAAAAATAATTAAGATATGTTTTCTAAAATTAATTATAAAAATTAAAAAATAGTTAGAATTTTTAGAATTATTTTTATAAAATATGTCTTATTAAACATGATTTTTTATTTTTTTCTTCTAAAAATCAAAAAACTATTTTTGAGAATTGAATTCAAACATGCCCAAAATTTCTTTTATTAATGAGAATATAAGGCGGAAAAAATATTTGTTCTTTTAATCAACGATCCTTTAGTTAAAAGTAGTATTTTTTATTTAAAATTTAAATAAAAAAAATCTCTCACTGTCTTCTCCCATAATTTTTATGGCTACCTTTTTTCTTACTACTTTTTACTATCGAATCTTAATTGTTGATTTCCGTCAATCTAACGGTTATAATTTATTGAAAATTATTAATTAATTAATAAATGTGATCCAATAAATTATGATCGTTAGATTGATGAAAATTAACGGTTAAAATTTGGTAGTAAGAAGTAGTAAGAAAAAATATAGTAAGTATAACATTTCTCAATTTTTATTGGGACAGGATATTGTGACAACCAAATAAAGTTACGACCAATGTTACGACCAATCATCTCACCGTTATATTGGTAGTAGCGATCCGACGGTCTTCATTGGTCTCTTAAATAGCCCCTCTATATTCGTTTCTCTCACCCCCTTCTCTCTTTGTTCCCTTCTCTCTCTCACTATACACTCTGCCACCGTCGCCGCTGCCCATATTTGATTCGAGATTCATCAAAGGTATTATTAAAATTTTTTGGGCGAAGCAGATCAATCACCGTAATTTTTTTGGGCAGATTCGTTTTTTTGATTCGAGATTCATCAAAGGTATTATTAAGATTTTATCTCTTCGTTGTTTTGATTCCCAGTGGTTACCACCCACAGGATGCAAGTGAGTTGTTCAATCAACCACATATTATGGGTTCACGGAAAACAGTACCTAAAAAAAATGGAAAATTATTACAAATCAAAATTTGAACAGACAAGGAAATCGAATCTCGAAAAATTGAACCCTAGCTCACTTGCAAAACGAATATAGGAAATCGTGAATAATGAGCAGATCAATTATTTCGATTTTTTGACCAGATCAAAATTATGGGTTCACCTGTGTTTGTAATGGGTATGGAGGAGCAGACATCAATATAGGAAATCGTGCCTTCAAAGCCTCAAAAGTTCGATAAGTGACATTATGCCTTTGATGAATCTTGAATCAAATATTAATTGGACTTACAAAACCGCGATAATTGATTTGCTCAAAAAATCGAATCTGGTAAAAATCGAACCCTAGCTCGTGTATTAGGCGAAGCTCTCCGCGAGATGCAGCGGCGGCGGCGGGACGGAGGCCGACGCCGCCGTCAGGGCAGAGGATATGGGCAGCGACGGCGGTGGCAGAGTGTATAGTGAGAGAGAGAAGGGAACAGAGAGAGAAGGGGGAGAGAGAAACGAATATAGAGGGGCTATTTAAGAGACCAATAAGGACCGTCGGATCGCTATTACCAATCTAACGGTGAGATGATTGGCCGTAACATTGGTCGTAACTTTATTTGGTTGTCACAGTATCCTGTTCCATTTTTATTATCTATCTCTTTTTCTCGTTTAAAAAACATATTTTATATTTTTTAAAATGATAAACACTAATCTCAGATAAGATAATAAGTTATAGGTGAGTTTGGTTGCTTGGAATTCAAATGACTGATAGCTGGCTCTACTTATAACATTGGCATCTGTTTTCCTTTAATGGCTGAGTACTGGGCCATCATTAAAGGGACTCCACTTAGCATAGACTATGCATGGCCAAGACATAATTGTTGAGAGTGATTTTCTCCTTGCTATGCAAGCCATTTCTAATGACACCAGAAACTTAGACACTAATGTCTTTGTGCATAGTATCCACCAGGGGCCAGACAAGAACTCGCAGATTTCTTTCCAACTTGTGCATAGAGAAGATAATAGATGTGCTGACTGGATCGCCAAATTTGCTGCTCAAGCTCAAGATGATTTTGTGCTTCTTGTCCGTATGGTTTAAGGTAGACCTTAGTTTCTGAAATGCCTTTTCGTAACTAGTTTGTTTTTTCCTTTTGGGCTTTAAGCCGCTCCTTTGTACTAAAAGAAATAAAAAATAAAAAAAATTGCTGCCTTCCCTCTCCCAATAAAACTATATGCGCAGTGCGTGGGCCTTTGTGGTTTACATTTTGCATACACAATATAATTGTTGCTGCTGGTTCCCTCAGAACAACTAGAAAAATAATTAACAGAGGCTCCCAAAATTGTTCTACGGATATTCTCGTTAGAGAAACTAAAACTAATAACTCTAAGCCACTTTACATCAACGTTGTGAAACCCGATTGGATCCCATCGGTTAATCGGTTATCAGACGGATTCAAGTCAAGTATCGGATTAGTCATGCATCAGATCCGATCAAATTCAGACAAAATCTGACCAAATTCGATCAAAATCGAGCATTTAAAATAAAAGATTAAAAACCAAAATTGTTTCATCTTGTAAAAAAAATATAGAATTCATTTTAAATTTTTTTTGTAATTTTATTTGCTAGTAGTATATTCTTCTATAATGACCACAAATTTCAGTTTCTAATACTGAAGCAATTTAAGGAACAATAAATTAAGAGAATCATATGTCATTTCAATGTAGAAAAATTTGAAAAGTATAAGTTCAAACATATGGCATTTTGAATGTCATTGAGAGGTATACTATAGACATTTTGAGTTGCAATTTAAATTGATATAATAATAGTGTGTATTTTCATTTATTTGTGCTCTATAAATTTGTAAAAGTGTAATTGGATAATTTTTGAACTTATTTAGTAACCTTGTTTAACTCATTTTAGATATAGAGAAAATAATTAAATTTATATGTTTATATTTATATATATTTTTACAGGAGAGAGATCATTTGACTCTAGAGTAAGACTTATAAATCTTATTTTTTATCTTAGTTATTGATTTCTGTCCATCCAACGGTTATAATTTAGAAAGTTATATTAATTAATTAATTATTAATTACACTACAAATGACAACCGTTAATTTCCATCCATCAGCAGCTAAGGTCATTTACAGGAGAGAAATCACTTGACTCTAGAGTAAGACTTATAAATTTTACTTTTCATCTTATTCATTGTTTTCATTTTTTTTACAATCGATAAATAGCGCATTTTTTTCTCACCACACTTCTTCAGATCTACTTGATTTCCGTTCCATTCAAAGTTCAAACAGTTTCTCAGTCTCTCTCTTCTCATTCTTCCTTAGTCACCCCCATTTCAATTCAATTCCCGATCCAACATTATTCAATCGAAACTCACTTCTTCAATTCAATTGAAAGGGATTATTCAAGTTGTAAATAGATAGAGAGAAACGGGAGAGGAGAGAAAAAGTATGGGAGGCCTAAAGAGAAAGAAAGAAAAAAATAATTAAAATAGGTAAAATAAGAGTAGGCCGAATAACCTATCTCATTTTTCTAACGAATTGAAATGGTTAGTCATTGACAAATCATGAGTATTAAAACACAAGTTTTTAACGAGATCTTTGAGGTGAATAATTGAGCAATTGAAGAAAGCATATGAGAAGGGGAAGGACATGAGGGAAGGGAAAGGATGGGTTGTAAACACCAATAGGGGGCGTAGCTGCAATCATGAACGAAGACTGGGTTTCGATTTTTAATTTGGGGTTCAATCCAAAATCAGATAGTGGCAGAAAGGGGAATATGGTTTGTGAATCGCAAATAAGGTTTTGAAATGTTATTGAATGATTGTTCCAAAAAAAAATGTTAGAATGAGATACGGATTAGATAAGGTTTGGTTTATTTTACTGATCTAGTGAACCTAATTGCTTAATAAGAAATAATTAAACGGTTCAGTTTAAGAACTGATTTAATTTGTTTGATGATTTGAATTGGTTTAAAACAGTACTATGCCCACCCCTAATTTTCATACTATATCTTCATATATAAATACATGAAGCAGGTTATATTTACAAACTTTTTTGTTTACAAACTCTTATAAACTATACTATGTTCTCTCGGAAGAACACTAGTTGCACTATGTTCTCTCGGGAGAACATAGTGTCATTTGTAAAAAAATTCAAAAAAATTTGTAAACGGATCCTTCCGCTAAATATATATAATATAATCACTAACAAGTGATATGGTTTGTGGAGTGGTGATGCATGGGGCTGTGAGCGCAAGTGGTACGTGAAATTGATATCAATAATAAAGATGATACGGAGAAAATGAGAAGGATAGTTGGCAATCACAGCCCTAAACAGGATAAATTTGATTTACTTAGCTCTGTACTACATAGCATTACTCTGGAAAAAGGAGGAGGTAAATAGGTTTAAAATTTAATTGAAAGGGAATCTTGGACAACTGGTGTTTGGTACACGGATTTTTTCCAGATTTTCAGAAAACTGAATTTTTTTAAATTTTAAATTTTCAGATATTATTGTAAACTGAATGTATACGGCGTTGTACAAAGAAAAATGTCTCAAACATGACTTTGAAAATAGAAAAATTGGCATCAATATGCTACCACTTTTCTTGATCCCACGAGAAATTTTAAAACTGCTGTTATGGATATAGTTTGTTCGGGGAAATGAAAAATAAAAGAACCCTTGCTTGCCTGTCAATGCAATTAAGAAATCATTATATTATTACTGAAGAAATTCCATCACTATACCAGATGACCAGTTATCACTGAGAGGAACTATTGTGTGGTCAGCCCATTCCTTGAATGTTTCTAGTCAGCAGCATCACTGGGGAGGTCAGGGCCACGAGGAATCTTGCCAGGATAGTTGGTAGTTGGCTCATTTGATCCAATCATACTGCAGATATAAAATTGAAATGAATTTTATGCATCATCTTGAATATAAGTTGTGTGTTCTGCAAGCAAAATGCTCACCCTCTATCAACGAGAACCACTGAACGTAGCTCACAATTAGCAAAGCTGTAAAACAAGGAATCCAAAATTTTGTGAATTAGTTAAATAACTAATTAGTTTAAGCGATTAATATTTCTCATATTGTAGGAGATAATTTTATCTTATATGCACAAATAAAAGTATGTGGGACTCGTATTTTTTTTTTCTATCTTCTCTCTTCACATGGACTCCACACATTTTCATGTATGTAGGAGATAAAATTATCTTCTACAACATAAGAAACACTAATCCCTTAATTTAAAGGTTAAAACATTTCAATTGTGTTACATATCTGTTGAGCAAGAGTTTCTATCATATCTTTTCTTTTTCCATTTTTCCATTTTTTTTCTATGTAAAAGAAGAGTGAAGATATTCTAACTACCAAAAATTCTTACTACTAACTTACTACCCATCACATCACCATTGGATCAAAGAGAGAGAATGTTAAAAAGTTTTTGAAGAGAGAGAAAATATTAATCTAATGGTGATTAGATAGATAGTAAGTTGGTAGTAGAAAATTTTGGTAGTAAGAATATCCCTCCTCGTAAAAGAATAAGGGCAGGTTACGTTTACAACTTTCTTTATTTGCAACTCTTACATCCTCGACTATGTATTTCGGGAAATACACACTCAAGTATTTATACTCCCCGGAGTATATAGTTGAGGTTGTAAGAGTTGTAAACAAAAAAAATTGTAAACGTAATCCTTCGCAAAAGAATAATATCCTAAAAGGTTAAAGATAATTACCACATAAACTCCAAATTCAAATTAAATAAGAAATGCAGAAGAAAAAGATACATATATGGAGATCTGACAAGATATCAGAAGTCCTAAATTATTGTAAGACAACATAAGATGCAGTCATGGAGGTTCTTTTATTTTTATTTTATACGTTTTATATTTCCTACCTTTAAAAGATTGAAATTGTTTCTTCAGTACTCCTTAGTCACTTCCATAAAAGCACATTATTATTTATTATGTCCAGCATATATTAAAACCTGAATATGCTGTTCATTGATAAGATTAAGCAAATACTTACTGTGTGCGTATTGCACTCTTTATATTTGGGTGACAATCATTTCCAAAAGCACTAAGGGTATTAAACAGAAAACTGCTGTGGGTAACAACTGCTATCTCCTTCTCTTTACGTGTCCACAACCTGAACCAACAAGGTAATTTGGGAAAAAGAAGTTAGATCTTTGGTTATAGCCCTTCTGTTACTAGAGGACACTTGCAAGTTGCAACAAATTGTCAAGAACATATTCAAGCTGGAGAGAAAAGGCAGGAATGTGAGAACCATCCAAAAAGTGGACTTTGTTATATTGTCAAAATGATTCCTTAAAATCTGAAGCCACCAATACTGGAAACAAGCGCTTCAGACCCAATGCAAAAACACGGTTTAAGAATGAAATCCTAACTTCATAGATAGTAATGATGCTTTAATAAGAATATCAAAAGGTCTTCATGATGCCATTGTAAGGCGTCTGGGAACCCTATCTTAACCCAATTTCTTGACAGATTTCATAGTAAGTGACAGATGATTCAAAAACTAAACCTTAAAGTGATCCAATCCATTACGAAATTTTCTTCTTGAACTTCAATTACGGTAATATGAACCTCGACTTCACTATGTTCAGGGCTCTTTGCCTCTCTACTTTTGTTCAATAAGATTATTCTTCTTGTTAAATATGCATGGTCATTGGAAAGAAACAGAGATAAAATTATTTAATCACGCTCACCATTCCAACAACTTCAGTCCCCTAGCAGCAACGTCTTCTTTCTTCTCTCTAATGTCAGGTGACCACAAAATGTCATCGTCACTTTCAACCTAAGCAAATTTTATACCAAGAATGAAGCCCATCCAACCAAATTTTAATCGTTTAGTAACCAGTGCATCAGAACCATCAAATTCAGTAGCTGCTAGACCATATTATGACATAACAATCAAAAGATCACTTACCAGGGAAAAATCAATTGCTGGAAACATTTTCCTGTACTCGCTGATGGTTCTTCTCTTATCACAAGGATGAACTCCCTGAATTTCACAAATAAAGCATTAAACAAAGGTATATTGATTTATATAGCAAATGAAATTTAAAACAATACGAAGGGAGGCAAAGAATTTTATTAAAAGTTTCAAACTTTTTCCCCTCCTCCTCATCATAATCTAATATAGTCACTAGCTCCATAAGTCACATACATAAATGCAGAAACAAGTTACATCCACCAATTGCTTAATGAAGAGAAAGGGCTAGTTGAAAAAGCATATGCAGTGCAGATTATTAATTCAAAGAAGCCATACCCCACTCCATACTGCAATGGACCAACCAACTTTGAATTTGAACGGTTTAAAAAGACTCGGGAAACCCAGTTAAAGATGTAATAATGTGAAACAATGTAGGAGAACAAACAAAAAATGGGCGAAGTTGGTACTAGCAAGTATGATCTTATAACCGTTCCTCAACCCTCAAGAAGCTAATATAATGATTTGAAGTGAATTCAATTAAGGAACTCAGTCAACCAGCGAAAAATGAGATCGGAAGACATGACCTTTTTTATCAGTTTCCTCAAGAAGCTGGAAAGCTCAAGATGATAAGGTAGATGGCCTAGTAGCCATGTAAATTTATGTAGTTTATCTTATATATTTCCCAATTACTGATGCTGTTCTGGAAGATTTTAGGAACTAGGAGAATTTAAGAAACCAAGGGAATGATTGATGTAATTAGTTGATTCAATTATCTAAACTCTAAAGCTACATAATACTCATCAACAAGGCATTTATTTTAAGGAAAAATGTTTGTCATTTTAAAGGACATATAATTGTATCATTTTAAGAGAGAAAAAAACATAATCTAGTATTTTTTATTTAAATTTTAAATTTTAAAAAAAATACTCATTTTCTCTTCCATGATTTTCATTACTTTTATCTTTCTTTCACTTAAAATTACATAATTCCATGTACTGTAAAAGATACAAACACTAAACCCTTTATTTTATAAGCATAACATATTTCCATACCATTTGCTCTCGGCAAAGCTCTACTGCTATAAAAGGTGGGCAGTTCACACTAGAAACTGCAAGATGATCGCTCTGTCCCACATTTTCCATCATCAGAGGAGGTTTGTCAATCGCATCAGTGTATGCTTCACCACCGAAGACTCCAACTGCTGTTTGCATGGTCCTGCAAAGCAATTATTAGCTATTTCAACTTCTGATACCCCAAAACACAAAAGGACTCTTATTTGCTCAAAATAAATAAATAAATAAACTAAAAAGATTTCTGCATACATAATATCAATATCATAATCCACAAGATCAAGTGCAATTAATTCCTACCACCAAGGCAAATTCCATCCCAAAACTTGCACTAAAAAACACACACAATAAACATAAAGATGTATGGTAGGTATTATTCCCAGCTTTTTTTTTTTTTCCTTTCCTTTTTCCGAATTTAAAAAGAAATTAGAAACCACTTCCTAATAGCCGTAGTGCTCAAGGTTTAAGCTAATTCGTATTTGAAAGACATTACAATAACAGGTGTAGACAAATAAGAAACATGTGCATCGACATAATAGACCAGCAGACACTAAATGTTAAAATTCGATAAGTAATGTCAGATATTTTCACTAATTAGGTCAATATTTACGTTCTATAGGTTTCAAGTCAATAAGATGTCTCAGGAGAAAACATAAGAATGAGTTCATCCATGGATAATCAATAAAGACATTTCAGTTTTCAAAAACTGCATCTTATTATCAGTAGTCATTCGAGCCCAATTTCTGGTGTTTTATCTTACAGTTGTCAGATACAGGCTATCTAGTCCCTGGTTTTTAAAGAACTTTTCACACATCTCATTAATATGCTTATTTGTATGGTGTGAAAATGCAACACATTATTTCAACGCACATCACCAATAAGCATCATTGTCAGGTATGGTTTAATAAATATTTCAGACCTTGTTCAGATATACAATTTTAATAAGATACAGTAAAAGAAGAAACAAATCAACAAAGTGAGACTGATACATGTCTTAGCAGAATTCTTGATTACAATTAAGTTATACCTTAACAACGGGGAAACAATAACTAGTTCAATTCTGCTGAAAAGTTCACATGCCTTGACATGCTTTTGCAGATTACCAACCTGTCATAGATCAACAAGCATTCAACCATTACGTTTAAAGAAATAAAAGCAGGAAAAACTAGGGAAAGAATTAGCTAGAGAGAGATCTATGCTAGGACAAGATTGTAATTGACACATTGTTTCTTCGATGAGAAATAAAATCATGGAAATACCAAGGCAGAATACCGATTGAAATCTCTACAGAAAGTCTGAAACATCTATCATCTTGATAATAGTGATTAATTCAAGGAGGAATTCCACAGAACACGAAAAAGCATACCGAAATACTTAACAAAATGACATTAAATAAATTTTATTGAAAAGAAGTTTCTGTATATTGATTTTGAATAATTTACATGAGTGAGTATTTATACAAGAAAAAATCGCTAAGAATGACTAAGCGATGACTAAGCGATGACTAATCAATCCTAATCACAATCAATTCTAATCAATCACAATCAATCCTAATCAATCATAATCAATCCTAATTAATAGGAAATAAAAACGGAAACATGTTTTGCTCTTTGGTTTCTGATTTTCTACATTCCCCCTCAAGTTGGGAGGTAAATATTGATCATTCCCAACTTGCCAATCAAGTCTTCGAATGCTGGACGGTGTAGGCCCTTGGTAAGGATATCTGCCATTTGCTCTTTGGTTGGAACATATATCAAACGCACACTTCCATCATCTAATTTTTCTTTGATGAAGTGACGATCAACTTCCACGTGCTTTGTTCGATCATGATGCACAGGATTTTGAGCAATGCTAACAGCTGCCTTGTTGTCACAATATAGTTTTATTGGTAGGGAATATGAAATCTTCAACTCTTGAAGAAGTCTTCTCAACCAGATTCCTTCACAAACTCCATGAGATAAAGCTCGAAATTCTGCTTCAGCACTACTTCTTGCAACCACTGTTTGCTTTTTGCTTCTCCAAGTAACAAGATTTCCCCACACATAGGTGCAATAGCCTGAGGTAGATCTCCTGTCTACTGATGAGCCTGCCCAATCTGCATCAGTGTAGATTTCAATTGTCCTTTTATACCTCTTTTTAAAGAATAATCCTCTTCCTGGAGTATTCTTGAGGTATCTAACCACCCTATAGACTGCACTAAGATGCTTCTCCTTGGGTGAGTGCATGAATTGACTAATCATACTCACCGCAAAGGCAATGTCAGGACGCGTATGAGATAAGTAGATTAGTTTACCAACCAATCGCTGATATTGTTCTTTATCCACCTCATTCCCATCTTCAATACCTAACTTGGTATTAGGTTCCACAGGTGTCTCAGCAGGTTTACACCCTAACATTCCTGTTTCTAACAAAAGATCTAGAACATATTTTTTTTGTGTTAGAGTGATGCCTGTTTTGCTCCTAGCAACTTCCATACCAAGGAAATATTTGAGAGTGCCAAGGTCTTTGAGTTCAAATTGAGCTGCTAGAAATTTCTTCAAGGTGTTCAATTCCTGAATATCATCACCTGTAAGAATTATATCATCTACGTATACAATAAGAATAGCAATTTTACCATCCTTAGAGTGTTTGTGGAAGAGAGTATGATCAGTCTGTGCTAGAATGAAGCCTCTTCTTTTGACTGCTTGTGTGAATTTGTCGAACCATTCTCTGGGAGACTGTTTCAATCCATATAGAGACTTTTTTAGTTTACACACTGATCCATTTCCCTTTTCAAAACCAGGTGGAGGATCCATATAGACTTTTTCATGTAAGTCACCATTTAGGAATGCATTCTTCACATCTAACTGTTGCAGAGGCCAATCTAGATTGGCAGCAAGAGATAAGAGAACTCGAATGGTATTGACTTTAGCAACCGGAGCAAAAGTCTCATGATAATCTATCCCATGAGTCTGAGTGAAACCCTTTGCAACCAATCTTGCCTTGTATCTGTTGATGCTATTATCTGCATTGAATTTTATTGTAAACACCCATTTGCATCCTACTGCCTGTTTTCCTTTGGGTAGGGTCACTATCTCCCAAGTTCCATTTCTTTCTAAAGCATTCATTTCTTCAAAGACAACATCCCTCCATTTTTGATCATTGAGAGCCTCATGTATATTTCTCGGTATCTTTGTACTATCCAACATAGTATTGAAAGCACGAAACCCTGGGGACAACTTTCCATATGAAATATGATTAGAAATAGGATGAGTAGTACAAGATCGAGTACCTTTTCTGAGAGCAATGGGCAAGTGTAGATCATTTTCACCATGACACTCAAGTATTGGGGTGCTGGAACTAGAACATGGTTCAGAATCCTGGCAGTGTAGAGGCTCTGGATTATTCACACTTTGAGGAGGCTTTCGCCTGCTATAAACTTGTCCCCATTTTGAGGAGGCTCCTGATGGTGAGGATTCTGTAGCTCCCCCTGTTTCCAAAATTAGAGGTAATACTGTGGCATCAGTAGGTTCCCATGACTGATCTTCATCTACTCCTATCTCCCCCTGAAGAGAAGTCGAGGGGAAGAAAGGGTCATTTTCAGAAAAAGTGACATCCATAGAGACAAAGACCTTACGCAGAGAGGGTGAATAACATTTATAGCCACGTTGAGTAGGAGAATAACCAATAAAGACACACTGGAGAGACTTAGGATCAAGCTTAGACCGTTGATGAGAGGGAATATGGACAAATGCAACGCAACCAAATAACTTGAGAGGTAAGGAGGAGACACCTCGGAAGGAAGGGAAGATACAAACAAGACTAGAAAGAGGAGACTGAAATTTCAGAATGCGAGATGGCATTCGATTTATCAGATACGAGGCAGTGAGAACTGCCTCTCCCCAAAGATATTTAGGAACACTCGTGGTAAACATAAGAGCCCGAGCAACTTCAAGGAGATGTCGGTTTTTTCTTTCCGCAACTCCGTTTTGTTGGGGTGTGTCAGGACACGAGCTTTGGTGAAGGATGCCATGTTGGGAAATATATTCTCCAAGAATAGAGTTAAAATACTCTTTGCCATTATCTGTACGAAGAATTTGTATAGCAACTTGGAATTGGGTTTGAACCATGGCATGAAAATTTTTAAACACGGATGCAGCATCGGACTTATCCTTTAGAAGATACACCCAACAGACTCGAGAATGGTCATCAATGAAGGTAATGAACCATCGAGTACCTGAAATATTTTTAACACGGGCTGGACCCCATATGTCACTATGAATTAAGGAAAATGGGGAAGAGTCATGGTGAACTTTAGAAGGATAATGAGCACGAGTATGCTTGGCAAGTTGACAAATATCACAAGAAAACAAACTTGGACTTTTATGAATAAATAAGTTTGGCAACAACTTCTGAAGATAAATAAAATTTGGATGGCCTAGCCTACGATGCCACATCATAACATCATTACATGAATCAAAAGGAAACATAGAGTTTTTTCTACGAAAACAGCTTCATGAGTCACATCCTCCTCAAAGTAGTAAAGTCCACTATCCTCTCTAGCACTGCCAATCATCCTCTCCGAGTCCTGTTCCTGAAAAAACACAACCATGTGGAAAGAATTTAGCAAAGCAATGCAACTCAGAGGTGAGCTTGCTAATAGAAATGAGATTACAAGTCAGAGAAGGAACATAAAGAACTGATGTCAAAGTAATCAGCTCAGAAAGTTTAATGGTTCCGTGTCCCGCAATCTGGGAAAAACTGCCATCGGCGATCTTGACCCGAGAAGGTTCAGAATATGGAGTGTATGAACAAAACAAGCCAAGATTACCTGTCATATGATCAGAGGCTCCAGAATCAAGGATCCAATGATTTTGACTATCAACATGGAAAGCTGTACCTTGCTGGACCACATGACTAGTGGCCTTAGGAGGTTGAGTCAAAAGTCTCTGAAGTTGTTCAAACTTAGTCTTGCTAAGAAAGACACCATCAGAGTAAGAGGAAGAGTGTTTTGAGGAAGCCATGAATAGAAAGAGAAGGGTTGACCGTTGATGAAAAATCAAGTTTTGTAAATTTTTTATCTGACCTCTGGAACAGGAAGGGGAGAAGCCGGCGAGAAGGTCTGTGCAAGTCGCGGCGGAAAAAGACGTTGGGAAGGCGGCGCGTGGAGCTCACGCGCCGGAAACTGGCCGCGCGTGTGACGGCGCGTGGCGGCGCGTGCGGCGGTTGACGGCGATGGGTCCAGCGGCGGTCGACTCGTCGGATCCTTCTGAGTCGAATGGTCACCTCACTTTCTTGATCGGAGGTCAGTAGACTAGGTTTCTGTGTTGGACAGATTCAAGGAGGTGTTTAGGAGGTGTTTGACGGTGATGGAAGTGTTTGGATGGTTATTTCAGATTTGAATTAGGGTAGGAACGAACCCGCTCTGATACCATATTGAAAAGAAGTTTCTGTATATTGATTTTGAATAATTTACATGAGTGAGTATTTATACAAGAAAAAATCGCTAAGAATGACTAAGTGATGACTAATCAATCCTAATCACAATCAATTCTAATCAATCACAATCAATCCTAATCAATCATAATCAATCCTAATTAATAGGAAATAAAAACGGAAACATGTTTGGATTCTGATTTTCTACAAATTTGACCAGCAATTACCTGCTTCCAGCCGAGAGGGGTTAGGTGTGCATCAAAATGATCGTAAGATAAGTATGCATCATGGTTCTTCTCCCCTTCTACATTGTGAACCCCTTGGGCGTGCCTAACCTGTATAAATTGTACAGGACATTAATGCTATAAAAAATAAAGTAAATGATGAATGATCTAAAGAACCAGAACAAAACATGCTCCAACACACAAGCTATTAACGTCTTTACTTATGTAATGGCTAAAATACCAAGTTCGTGGAATTTAAGTCCTTATCAATTGAATTTCATGCACTTCCTACTCATTTTGAAGATAACATAATTAGAAAGTTCATCTTAAAATTTCATTCAGAAAGGGATAAGTAGTTAACACCAGTCCATATAGAAAATCACAGGTCATTAACGGCTTCAGATTTCGTGTGACACATCCGGACAAATATCATTTTTAGTATGATATGGAAAAAAAAAAAAAAAATCTGCTTCAAGGATAAAATTGCCACAAACCAGGTGAACAGTTTTGCAATGGTGCAATGGATAGAGACTTTGACCCGCAGCAGTATCCATACCTGCAAAGGAACACAAAGAAAAAACCAACAACAAAGCGTGATTTGTTGAAGGTATCACTAAACCAGCGTTGTGAAAAAGCAAAACTGCACGCCCTTGTCCAATACAAAAGTACATAAGCTACATACACAAACCAATCGCACAAATCAAGCGCAAAAAGGCTTGAGCAATCAGTGTTTGTACCCAGAGCATAGATACACAGTAGCAAACAATTGCAACTTGCAAGAATAAAAGGACAGCATAGGTCCCAGCAGTTGCAAGCAAATGCAAGTATAGATGCGAAAAAGAAAAATCTATCTCCGCATACATACGCTACCAACACAACATAGAGAACAGCACCAATGAGGAATCAGGAATGTAACACAACAAGGACTATTGCTGATATCACTAAAAACACTGCATATCCTCAAAATAAGGTTTGATAACTCGTTGAAATAAAAGAACAAGAAAAATAAAAATAAAAATAAAAACAAATTAACGAGGTGGATTTGAAGAAAATCTGCAAGCTCAACAACAATTACAGAATAAACGTATAAACTTAAAACAGTCTAGCCAAAAAAAAGTGCGAAGGTTCCCCGTGAATATTTAAAATCTGAAAGGAAGTGTAGAATTTAGTTTGGTTATAAAACAGATCAAATTCATCAAAAGCAGTTTAAACCGCCGCATTGATCTGATATACATGAAATAGGAAACGAACATTTCCTCGAACAAATAACACAAATTCTCGTGCAAGTAAGTAACAATATTGGATCGAGTTAATCAAAACTCAATCGAAAACAGAGTTGCTTAGAGGAAAGCGAATCGATAAAAAAATTAACACAGTTGGTGATTAGGTTGTGCATGAGAATTTCACATACCAGAAGAAGAAAAACGCGAGGAGAGAGTAGTTGCAGTTCCAGGTGAGGGAGGGAGAAACTTGAAAAAGAAGCAGCAGAGAAGGAGAAGCTTTAAAATGGGAGAGGGGACTAAGGTGGAAGCTAACAAACAAAAGTTTGGTCATTCTCACATGAGATCACATGGGAAGATTATTTAGTCTTTAATAACGGTATGCACTTGGCAGTTCGTGACTGGTTGAAACAAGAGCAGTTGAGGAGTGCGTAACAGTGTTTGGCTTCTCCTTCTACGCGGCTGTCTGTAACTGATGCAGGACCACTCTCTTCCACGTACGAGTGTTTTCTCAAGTTTAAAAGGTAAAAAATCTATTCATGTATTTGGAAAGTTGAAATTTTGAAAAATAGTTCAATTTAATTTGTAAATCAAATTTTGTATTTAAAATATGGCTTCAATGTCTTGGAAAATCTTTGGGGGCCAGAGGATAAGCCAAAAAATCTTCGGTTGGGGGATTAGTCTCGTCCTTTCTCCGGTTGCGAAGCTTAGTGCACCCACTGTTACAATGAGGGGCTAGCCCAAACGGGCCGTACCCCGAGGGCATGGTGCCCGGAGAAGGTTGAATGGGGATACCTCCTGGCAATGTACCAAAAAAAAAAATATGGCTTCAATGTTACGGTGCATATAGATAACTTATCTACATTTATTTTCAAAATGAGTCACCTGGGATTGGAAAAATAAAAAATTATAATGAGAAAAACTATTATAACCCCAAAATAAATTATAACTACAAAAATACTTTGATTTTCGCTCCAAAACGATGTCGTTTTGAGTTCAATGTAGATAATTTATCTACATTGACTATAAAAATATTAAAAAATGTGAACTTATTTATTTTAAAATTTTATGAAATTAATTGTTTTTGTTTTACAAATCCTATTAAATAAGAGAATTTGATAATAATTGATTTGGTTTTCAATTTAATTAATTTGATAAGTATATTTTTATAATTACAGATATTTGTTCTATTAAATGTTTTTAATTTACCTGAATTAACTATATGTATTTTTTAGAATTTAATTTAAAAAAATCTTAATATTTCTCTTTTTGACTTTTATTTTTTAAATTTTACCTAAATGTAAAAATACTAATATTGTGTACAAAATACGTGCTAATCAGAAACTATATTCTTTTGAAACTATATTTTTTCTATTTTGGATTTGACCACCTTACTAATTCTTTTGGCTGAAGTCAATGCCAAATTGGAAAGTTAATTTAAGAATCTCCTATTAGTAATCAGAAAATAAATTAATGGAGAAAGTTCAAAAAATCTTTTGTGGTTTGCTCCAAATTCATTTAAATTTTGGTATATTTTTTGCTTATCACTTATCTCTCATGTATTTTTTCATCCAAATTCATCTTTTTAATGCCATCAAATACTAGGTTAAGTTGTTTATTTTGCTTGAGTGAACAAGTAAGAAAACCATTAGAGAGATAAGTGATTAAAAAATAAAAATATAAAGGGGAAAGTGATAAAATATTAAATCATAGGGGATTTTTGAACTTTCTCCTTGTAATAACCAAAAGAAGAAGAAGAAGAAAATACTTGAAGTAACTAAGGAACGATATCCAAACAAGCTAATGAGTTATATGACCAATTCAAATAAAGGATGTTCTATTCAATATCCACTATTAATTTTTAATCTATTAAAAAAATGAATAGAGTTGAAATAGAATAAAAAAAATTAAATTATTAAGATAATAATTTTTTTCTTTAGCAACCATCTACATGTATAACAATAATATAATCAAATATATATAATGATAGACAAACATAAAAGACACATTTGAATGACAAACATAAAAATTGTATGTGGATGATATTTGAACAAAAACATCCTTTATTTGCGATACATATACCTCATTCAGTGAGGATATTGTAACTACAAAAAAATTGCACTACTAACTTACTACCTATCACATCACTATTGAATCAAAGAGAGAGAATGTTAAAAAGTTTCTGAAGAGAGAGAAAATGTTAATCTAATGATGATTAGATAGATAGTAAATTAGTAGTAGAAAATTTTAGTAGTTAGAATATCTCTCCTGTACAGCTTGTTGAGTTTGATATTGTTTCTCACGTCAAGGTTTTTGTTTTCTCTTGTTAATTGTTGCAAGGGAAAAATTCAAAAATCCTTTTGCGGTTTGATATTTTATCACTTACCCTCTTTACTTCTCTTTTTTAATCACTTATCTTCTATTTCTATTTTCTCGTAGGAGCAAAATAGACATGTTAACCCAATAATTTTAGTGGCATTAAGCGTGAACTTAGATAAAAAAATCACGATAAAAGTAAATGATAGGAAAGAATACAAATAATTAAATAATTTGGAAGCAAATAAAAGGAATTTTTTGAACTCTTTCCAAAAATTGAGTTGCTTCAAAAAAAATTTATCTTATCTCACTCACTCAACCTCTTTTCAAATATATTGTCATCTCATTCTTTTTATAAAAACAAACATTAGTATCTTAATTTTGAAATGTCCATTTTTTTTTTCATGCTACAGAACACCAAATGTCTCCTCCAGTAAACACAAATTAAATGTGGGTCTTATACTTTAAAAAAAATTTAAGTGACGCGAAAAATAATTTTTATGCAAGAAAAAGAATCTAATTCCAGTCCCATGAAAGCATGATTTTCCTTTATTTTATATGATTTTCAAGCAATCAAGCTCAAAAGTTTGCATTATAGTATTAGAATTTATAAAATTTTGGTTGATTGAAATTTTTAATTTGAAGTTGAATGTTCAGTCTGCAATTAATTGTGCCTAAAAATTTCTGACTTGGAAAATTCACTATTATGGACGCTGACGTACACAGATTGGACTAACTTGTCTACAGTTGCTTGTCTTCGTGTAGTTAGCTGTACAATGCAGTCCACACCACATGTCATACTTTTGTACTTGGAAGTCATCTATCAAAAACGATCTCCATATGGAACAAAATTTTTGTACTAGGAAGTATTCAAGTGAATACTTTCTTTTTTCACATTAAAAAAAAATATGTTCGGAATTTTTTTTTAAAAACTGGTAAATGTTTTTCCAAATATTAAAAAAAAAAACCTATTTGAGTATTCCTATAACACCAAAATTTTGTTCCTTAGCAGGTAAAGTTTAAATAACTTTTTTTAAAAAAAAATCATTCTACAATACGTGTCACCGTACAATACAATACAATCCACATCTCATTCTTTTTTTGAAAAGCAAACAGGAAACATAAAAACAAAAAAAGAAACTAGGAACACCTCCTAGACCAAACTACTCCTACATAGTCCCTTTCAAGTTTGTCACGACAACCAGAAGGAGGCGAGTCAAACTCTTGTAAAGACCAATCAAAGGAGTAGGCAAAAGAGGCCATCCAATCGGCAACCCCATTCCCTTCCCTATGAATATGGGAAATTCTAACCCTCCAATTCCAATCCAGCATATTCCTTATGCGCAAGACCAAGTTAGAGGCTGGATGATGAGAGCTGCACCCTTCTCTTATGAAAAACTGGGCTACTAAGGAATCACCTTCAAGCCAGACAAAACGAAAACCTTTCCTCCATGCAATCTCAAGCCCAAGGAGACAACCCCAAAGTTCTGCTAACAAAACATTACCACAGCCAAGATTTTTACAAAAGCCAACAAGCCACCTTCCACTAGCATTCCTAAATACACCCCCACAAGCAGAAGCTTCTCCATTATTCATACTTGACCCATCCACATTGAGCTTAACCCAAGGGTCCGAAGGAAAAACCCAAGAAACTAATTTCTCTTTATTCGAGTTAGTCTCAAGACCAGCAACCCGAAGCGTGTTTTCTGACCAAATAACTTTTTTATGATTTAATGTGCAATCACTTACTCTTTTTAATTTTTTTAACACTTATCTTTTGTTTGATTTTTTTTATTTACGTCACCTAAATAGAGCTAAAAACTTATATCAACTATTCATTTTGTTCTTGAAAAGTAAAACGCCCGTGTGAAATTTTTCTATTCTCTTTCATGATTTTTATAGATTTTTATCTTCTTCATATTATATAAATATTTTCACTAGTTGGTCATTGTATTTGAAAATTGATCATACTGATATTCTCAAATTCTTTTTGTGAAGATACAGTAAATATAACATAATTCATAAAATAATTAAGATAAAAAAATAAAGTGACATTTTTTCTTGAATAAAAATATAAATAAAAACACCAACCAATCTTTTTTTTTTTTTTTTTCTTGACAGACTTTAAAATTTGTCATCTTTTAGTATAGTTGAGCAGTAAGTTATGGCTAAAGAGAAAAGCCTGACTGCACGAGGACTTAAAAATCGTAAGCACGTGAGGATAGGAATATTCCTACATATGTATAAAAAAAGGAATATTCCTACATATGTATAAAAAAAAAAGGAATATTCGTACATGGTGCTGAAGAAGAATAGGGAATATATGGTTAATGGTAAGAGAAAAAAGTGATTATCGTTTTTTTTTGTTTTTTTAAGAGCATCTAATAAATAAAACAAGCAAGGAAAAAATATTTCCCCCGTTACTGGGCTTATCGTTTCTCGGGCTATTTAAGATAATTTTATCTCCGGCTAGAAAATTATAACCGTACAAAGATAGATTAATTGTGATAAAGGAAGAGAGATAAAGAGAATCATAACCATTCAAAGGTGAATCAATTAATATAAGAAAGTAAATAAATAAAATGACGTAGTTTTGTGGTAGCAGGAGATAAACTTATCGCAAACTGCTCGAGAAATGTTTTTCAGTGAACTCAAAACGATGTTATTTTGAGATTATAAGATTAAAAAATTATAACGATAAAAACTAATATAATCCTGTAATATATTACAATTACAAAAACACATTGATTTTGTTCCAAAATAATATTGTTTTAGGCTCACCGAAAATAATTTATCTCAATTGAGAGGAGAAATGATTTACCTCATAAGTTATAACTATTTTGGAACATGAAAATCCTATCCAATTCACTTGAATTTCATTGTATCTCGTTCATATTATTTATTTTCTTGCACGACAGATGATTATAAAAAGGAAGGAAATCACATATTGGGTTTCCACTTTGGGCTTTCTAGTGGCTGAAACTCTTATCCATTATATTAAGGTC